ACAACAACAACAAAAACTGAAAAACTAAAGAGAATTCCTTCGGGAAGTTCATTAGATTTACTGTATATTGGTTGGTTGGTTGATTATAAGTTGCTTAACTTTTTTTTTGTTTGGTGAAAGATTCTTAGTTTTGTTGTCTCTCTGTGTGTATGTATTTTGGTATTTTCTCTCGGGAACTTCAAATTTTTTTTTGTTGTTGGTTGCTACATCATTACAACTGGTTAAATTAGCCAGTTTTCGTTGTTCGTTTGTTGTTGTTCATTTCACATCATATTTATTTATTGAAACAAAATTGAATGGTCACGATGAACAATTGAATGACGACAACAAACAACAAAACAACCAAACAAACGTCATTTCTTTTTTGTGGCTTATGATGTCTGGTTGGTGATTGAAATCATTCAGTTTGGCCAACCAGCCAGTCATTCAATGTGGCTGCAAAAATTCTAGTTCAATTCACAATTGGCATCTTTACATCGTCATTCGGACATTGGATGGTCTTTTTTGGTTTGCTGATTGCCAACCCCATATAAATTCCGTGTTTGTCCCGTTTACACACAGAGAATAAGATCTGATAAGAGGAGACAGAAATCGAAAAACAAGCAACGAGAAAAAACCTCTGTAAATTGGGCACAAATTAGATTCAGTTTTTCATTTTAGTTTTCACATCTTATAACACAGTGCTTATTAGCTTGGTTCATTATTTGATTCTGTTTGGTTTTTATTTTTGGATGATTCTCAAATTTCTTTCAGTGATGGTCAATGTGCGATAAAATAAATTAAAATTGCCCACCACTAACGAGAAAGAAAAGAAAACGAAAAATCACCTTCAAAGCATTATTGGTAATCTTTTTATTTCTGGTGATCAAAGAACATGGACACACAGCAACCAATACAGAATTAATCAATATCGATCACTAATATTGGTCGGTTTTTTGTTTCCCAATTAATATTACTGTTTGTTTGGGTACATAAAGATAATTTTAATTAAAACAAACCAATAAACAGCAAAAAAAAATGCACAAATTAATTTCCTATCATCATCATCAATCTAATCATTTTCGTTTCTTTTTTCATTTGAAAATTTCATTTCCACCGAAGCCAAAGTCAATCTATTTCTTCTTTAATTTACTGTCTGTTTGTTTTTGTCATTTGCATCAGTCAGGTTTTTCATTTGATATAATCTTTATAATGATATTCAGTTTGATTGTTTTTTTTTTGCTTCATTACAATATTGAATGAATAAATGAATGTAATTAATGAAGAAATATTTTTGGAAAAAATATATGTTTCATAATTATAATCATAATAATTTATCTTTTTTTATCAAAGCGTAACTTTAGAGAAAGTTTTTTTTCATTCAAAAATGATTCCCGAAACTTTTTCCCAGCGCACTGTTTGCCTATCTTTTTTCTCCTATCCGCTCTTCTCGATCACCAGAAAATAACAAAAACAAAATTCATTCAATTGGGATTTGGATCGCTATAATTTTTGTTTCAAAAAACAAAAAAACAAAAAAATTGTTTTAATTAATCCATATTTATTCATGAAAAAAAAATATTCCATATGGACCATCCATCCATTCAGATATTCAGATATCAAAACAAAAACAAAAAAAGAAAGATGCACCAAGATATGATGATTAAAAACTCAATTTTGGTTCATAATCATAATGATGATTATGATTAACATTTTTAATTAAAGTTTTTTGTTTTGTTTTTCTGGTCCCCTATTCATTCATTCAGTGTTAGCAATGATGATGATGAGATATTCAAATGAAGAATTTCCATAATTTTTTTCATATTTTAATCGAGATCCAATTAATGATTATGAAACCCAATCAAGATTGTCATAGTAGTTTTCTTCTTTTTGGTAAAGAATAAGTCCCATTAGAGAATATTCCTGTGTGTGTGCGTATTTCTGTAATTCATTTTTTCAATTAAAATTAACTTTTTTCTCCCATTATAATTTATTTTTTTTTGTAGGAAAATATTTCCCGGAAAACAGAATAATTCCCGAAATGTCCGAAACTTATGATTTTTTTCTCATTTTGTTTTCGGAATTTTATGATTTTTGGAAGAAAATTTTGCCTTTTCCCCTATATGATTGATGATAATGAAAGTTATTGGTTTATTCCGGAAAAAATACTGAAATTTTTTCTGCAAATGAAATTATTAATTATTTACGAGAAAATTTCTTGATTTTTCCCGGGAATATTTCTCAGCCAAATACTGTCATTTTCATTTTTTGTCAATATTTTTCTTGACAAGTGACAATTATGAAAACACATTTTTTTCTCGTGTTTCTATCCAGTCCTTCTAAATTATTTACAAGTTTCGTTTCAGTTTCGTTTGTCGAACAAATTCGTTGTTACCATCGATAACCAAATCGATCGATGATTAAAAGTCAATGTAACATGCAATGAAACATGTACATACATAGAACACAAACAAACAAAAATATTAAGGACATTTGTTTTTGGCCATAAAACAGAAACAAAAGGATTATCAGGTAAAAAATTTGAAATTTTTTTGTTTGTTTGTTTGTTCATATTATGGCCAAATAAATGAAATGTACTAAAATTTTTTGTTTTTTTTAACCCCCTCTCTCCCACCAAAAGAATCAAGGTTAAAGACCTTTGTTGAACAAGTGTCACATTTTTTTCTTCATTTCCAAATTTTCAAAAACTCCAAAAAATCAATCAAATCACAACTGCAGTTGATAAAGCAATATGGTTTGTTGTGTATCGATTATCATCATCATTATCAACAACAAATCTGAATCGGAAACCAGAAAAATTGATCCAAAAACAAATCCTATGAGGGGCCATATCATTTTCGGTTTGTATCTTTTTTTTTCTTCTTCTTTGTTTTTATCTTGGTTGTTTGCTCCATTTTTTTTCTTCTTCAGCTGATGATGATGATGAAAATACTGTACAAACATTTGAAGAGAGAAAACCTTTTTTTGTTGTTGGTGATCCACTTGGGATTGAAAGTAAAGTGAAAAGAAATCAGTTTCTGTTTTGTTCAGAGAATTCACCAGGGCTTTCTCCATAAACACACACACACACCGAAATCATCATTATCCATATGGCTAGTCCATAGGCAAATGGACATTACACACATTACGTAATCAACAATGATGATGTTGTTGTGGATGTGCAACATGTTGCAACATTTTGATTGCTCCATTTTTTTTTGAAGAACCAATCGATTGATTGATTGACTAAATATAATCAAAAAAAAAACTGATTCATTTTAATCGATTTTTTTTTGAGTAAAAATCATCAAGTGTATTGCGTGTTTGTTTTGTTCCCCCCAAAAAAAACTAAATGACTAAATTGGTTAGTCCATAGAGATTGTTCTGAAAAATCATTATTCTTAAGGCGTTGTTTGACAATTGATATTGGGCCTCATAACAATGATGATGATCTTTTTATTCTCTTGTTGCTTTTTTTTCGGGCGCCATCGACACTCACTCGCACACAATATCAGGATTCGGGCGCCAGAAGGAGTGACTAAATAAACATCATCAATATCAACAGCGAATAGGCGAAAATTGAATAAATCCATAATAAAAAATGATGATGTTTTCAATTCTCTTGATGATAGGGAAGACACACTGTAAATGTGTATGGATGGTTAGCAGATAGGATTGGCAGATAGTAAACAAAACAAAACAAAAAAAAATGGGACGGTACATTTTATTTGGATTTATTTTTGGTGAAATTTTTTTTTTTATAACTTTGGGGAATTTAGGCACCAGTCAAAATGGGTGGAGTTTGGTCGATCATTGATTTAGATTGAAGTAGGTGGAGACAAAGAACAGCCAAAAAAGAACAGTATTCAGTTTGTGTCGTCTGTTTTTTTTTTGTTTTTCGTTTTTGCCAAGAATTCTTAACGTGTTTTGCTCTCATAGAGATTGCTCATATTTTTTCGTCCCCCCTTTTTTTGGTTCCAGAATTCTTGGTGCATGGTGTGTGAGAGACAGTGTGTGCTATATATTATGTCAACGCATGCTAGTCCCAATCCACAAACACTGACTGAGCGAAATGATATGATATTTACACACTTGACTACCGTTACCGCCAAATTTTTTTATTTTTTTTTTGATTTTAGAACTTGTTGTTGTTTTGTTTGTTTGCTGTGAAAACTACGATGATGATGATGATTCACTTGGGGCATAAACTTTGTTGTTGAAAATCGTTTGGTTTGGTTTTTTTGTGCAGAATTTTCATCGTTTTTTCTCTCTCTCTGTTTGTGTGTCTATGTTGTCAATAGAATCAAACAAAACAAAAAAAGGTTGGTTTAGTGGAAAAAAATATATAATTCGACTTTCTTTTTTTTTGGTTAAAGTAAAAAAAATCATTATACATTATTCGTTTGCTGTTTGATCATCATCATCCACATCATCTATTCACTTGCTCTCTTGTCATGTTTGAATGATCATCATCATCATCATCATCATCGTAAACATCTCTTGAGAGATTCTTTGTTGCTGTTCATATATACAGAATATATATGACATCTGGGGATCAAATCAAATGTTTGGTTTTGGTTCGGTTCGGTTTGTTTGTTTGCTTGCAAAGTGTGTGTAGTGTGTTTTAAGTGTCTGTGGACGACATTGATCCTCAAAATACAACCATCATCCTCATTATTATTATCATTTGAAAATGAAATCCTAAGTGACCACAAGTGATTTCAACAAAAATAACATAGTTGCCAAACAATCAATTGATTCTTAATCAAACTTGAAAACTTTTTTGTTTTTTTTTGTTTTTGTTGAAATAAATAAGATTTTGTTGTTTGTTTGTGTTGTGTTTGAAGTGTGTTATATAATCAAATAGTGAATGTTTTATTGATTGATTGATTGAAAATAATTTAATTACAAAATTTCAGTTTTCAACAGCATCATCATCAACAACAATATTTTTATTGATCAATTATACACCTGATTCGATTGATTTATCAAAGATTTGATTGATCCAGTGCGTGCGATGTGATTTGTTTGTTTTGTTTTAGTAGAATAAAAAACTGTTGCTCAAATTTCAAACATTTAAAATTTTTGGAAACGATGGCCACCATGTTTGGCCTACATCATCCAAATCAATTGAATGATTTGACAACAACAATTCATCAGGCAAGACATCATCATCATTCTTGTTTATCATCATCATCATCAGCAACAACAATTCCAACATCATCATCATCGACAACAGCAACAACAACAAGTAATTTAATAATCAAAGAAGAACCAAATTTTAATGAAACTAATCATCTACATACACATTTAAATCATCTAAATTCACATCATCATCATCCACATTTAAATCCACATCATCTAAATCCACATCATCATCATCATTCACATCCAGGTTTACGTGCTGCTGTAAATCATCATCATCATACATCTTGGATGTCCAATACAATGTTAGCTGCTGATCAGCCATCCAAGTATGATTCCAAAAAAGCATCTCTCTGATAATCAATTTATTGATCTTTGATCTTTCCATTTTTTCTCTCTCTCTCTCTCTCTCTCTCTCTCTCTCTCTCTCATTTTTCCAATTAATAAAGCGTTGGACTAAGCCGAGCACATTTCGAAAAACAACCACCATCCAATCTACGTAAAAGTAATTTTTTTCATTTTGTCATTGCATTATTCGATAAAAATGGTCATGCAGTGGAAATTGAACGTACTGCATTCGTTGGTTTTATTGAAAAAGATCAAGTATGATTTATTTATTTATTTGTTATTTCTCTATTATTTCAATAAATCAATTTGATTGATTGATTGATTGATTTTCATTTAATTAATTTTATTGATTTTGTTTTTTTTTTGATTTATAAAACAGGAACCAGAAGGACCAAAAACAAATAATGGTATACATTATCGTTTACAATTACTTTATATAAATGGTGTCAGGCAAGAACAAGATATTTATATTAGATTAATTGATTCGGTTACTAAACAGGTAAGTTTGTTTGTTTGTCACTTGTTTTCGTTTTCACTTGTTTCATGTTCATTAATCACACAAAAACTGGAAACATCATTATTCAATTTCCCCCACCATCACCTCCAATCCAAAATTTATTACAAAAGTAACCTTCTGGCATCCTTATGTCATTCAATACTGCCACTGAATATATGAACATTTGGGGCATCTCTATATTCTTGTTTTACAATAAAAAAACTTTGAAATGAAATCAAATTGCTTTGATCATTTTGTTATTTTGTCATTATTATTCTCCGGTAGTTAGTAATTTTTTTTCTTGTTCCAAACAAAAACTATTGAAACAAACTTTTTCATTCAAAAACATGACATTTATCCGAATTGGCCCTTCTGTTATCCGAAAAATAAAAAGTGTAGAGATTCAGTGTGTGTGTTATTGGAGCCTTTTTTTTATTCCAAACAAATTGGCTTAACCAAAATTCTCTTTTCATTCGATTGGGCATTTGGTTTTCTGTTTTCTGTTTTGTTTTCTTTCAAAAAAGCTGAATATATGCCTGAATGTTTATATGCTTATCTAACCGAACAGATGTTTGTTGTTTTGGATCGAAACAAAACAAAAAAAAAATTTCGGGGCTAGTTTGAAAAAAGTACAAAACTACTAAACTAACCAAAAAATAAAAGCAGGAAAGAGCAAGTGCAAAGACCATTCATTCAAAATGAATGAATGAATGAATGCATCATCTACGTTGATGATTATGATTACAATGATTGTAAATTGGTTAGCTTGTTTTGAAACAACAACAATGGCTACAATTTTTTTTGTTGTTGTTGTTGTGCATCATACAATGACATGACAGGTCCCTTTTTTGCATTTGTTAAAATGATGATTGAACCAGCAAAATAACAAGTGAATTTCTATTCATTCTGTTTGAATAGAGAACAAAAACGATTATTTTCATTTTCATTCATTATTATTATTATTATTATTGGTTAAATTGTGACCATCAATATTTGAATAATTTTTGTTGATCCAACATGAATAAAATGAAATGATTTTTGTTGTGTGTTTGGCCCTGAAGCCAAATTCTGATTGTTGAATTATTATTGTGAAACAAACATTCTCAATTTGATGATCAATCAATAGATGAATAATTTATTTTTTTTCAAAACAAAAAATGATAAAGATTTTTCAGAATCTATATTGCTGGATAATCCTGTCGTCAATATTTCTATTTTTTTACAAGTTTCCAAAAAATCAAAATAAAACATTAGGACAATATGAATCATGAAGCGATTCGATTTCGAAAACATTTGAATCATTTTTCAAAAGTATTTTTATCATTCAACAACAATAATAATAATAATAATTGTCAAATTGCTTTTCAAAACAAATCGCATACACATTATTTGTCTAGGTTTTCCTTTCATCATCATCATCTTTTGAATTACGTTCAAGGGGCTATTAATAATGATAATAATAATAATCATAAAACATCGTATAGAATGTGAGAAAAAAAAACCTAAAAAAATATATTTTTGTTTGAATGCGACCATTGGGAGCAGTAATTGCTTGCGAATACGAATCTAAAGTAATATTTTTATTTGTTTGCAACAGAAAAGGATAACCCCAATGTTGATGATAACGATGATAATAGCCAATAGCCAATATCAATTGACTTTTATGATTTTCGTTTTTGTTCTCTTGAATATATAAAGCTCGTTTTTGCTTTTTATTGGTTATCTCGATTCGATTGTTATCGTTTTTTTCTGTTGGTGAGGGGGGGAGAACCACTTGAGAATCAAAGAATCTTTTTTTCTTTTTCCAATGATAATTCTTGTTGAATAATAATTTTGTTTTTCGGATTCTTTTTTGTAGGCGATAATTTATGAAGGTCAAGATAAAAATCCTGAAATGTGCCGTGTACTTTTAACACATGAAGTTATGTGCAGGTATGTTCATGTTTTTTTTCTCTCTTTCCACTTTATCATCTAATCCTATTATCAAACTTAATTGATTTATGATTTTCGTTTCAAAACAACGTTAAAATAGCCGCTGTTGTGACAAAAAAAGCTGCGGAAATCGTAATGAAACACCATCGGATCCAGTCATTATTGATCGGTAAGTTTTTTTTCTTTATTTACATTTTTATCAAACACCGTCACATTTTGTGACATTCAGGGTTTTTTTTCTGTTCAAATTAACATAGAATCAAACAAAAGTGAAATGACGAATGTTCAAGAATTAAATATTCAAAAAAAAAATTTATATGGATGAATATAATATGCAAATGTAAATTTCTTTGAATTTGACAAACGGTTAGTTAAGTTAGTTAGTTGGTTGGTTTGTTTGTTTGTTATAACAAAATTCTGACGTTTTTTTTCTTTGGAAAACAATGATGATAATTTATTATTATTTCCATTTTTTTCGTTTGACATTTCGGTTTGGGTTTAGTTGATTAGTTTAGTTTTTGGCTGCGATGCAATTTGAAACAAGAATTTTTTTTGTTTCCATATTTTTTTGATACATTTCTCTGTATGACATTTCTCGTTCGTTTGTTTGGTTTCATTTCGCTTTTTGAAACGTTTTGAATTTCAAATTTTTCATTTTCAGTTTTTCAATTTGATGATTGCTCATTTCAATGATGATGATGATTTGATACAATCAAAAAAAAAGTTTTTCATTTTCAGCAGCAAATAAATTATCAACCAAAACAGAATAAAAAATATATCTAATTCCACACAAACACACACACGTTTTTGTGTGTAACAAAAACTTGCTAAATAAAACTAATGAATTTTCCTGTAAAAAGAATTTCATTGATTTTGATGTGTATGACTTGAACTGAATTGACTGAATTTGAACTGTAAATCTGTTTAAGTGCGATATGCACACCAAAGCACCAAACAACAACAACAACAA